AACTGTCAAGAAGGTAAGAAGACAAGGCTGAAAGAAAATATTTGCAAAAGTTACATCTGTTAAAAAAGACTGACTCAACAAATGAAGAGTGCTTGCTGTACAAACCTGACCTGAGTTCTAATCCTCAGCAACCACATAAAAAGCAGGGCCTGGCCTTACTGCCTATCACTCCAATGCTGTGGAGACAGAGAAAGGAGGATCACTGGGGTCTGCTAGCTGACAGCCTATTGCTATGTGTTCAGTGAGAGACCTGACCAAGAAAACAGTGAGGACTGATAAGGCAGAACACTGGTGTCCTCCATTGGCCTCTGTGCATACACACACACACACACACACACACACACACACACACACACACACTCGTTTTAATCACACAAAGAACTATCAAAATTGATCAACAAAATAATGAACTACTAGGCATGAAACTCAGACATCCCACCAAAGAAGATTTATAAGTAAAAAAATATATATGATAAAAAACATTTTAAAGTTTTTTTTTTTTTTACATCCTGACCATAGTTTTCACTCCTTCCTTCCTCCTCCCCCTCCATCCATTCATCCTTCTTTCTCTTCAGAAAAGGGCAGGCCTCCCATGGATATCAGCCAGCCATGGCATATCAAGTTGCAGCAAGACTAGTCACTGCTTCTCCTATTAATGCTGGATGAGGCAGCCCAGTAGGAGGACAGGGCCCCAAAGGCAGGCAACAGAATCAGAGACAGATCCTGCTCCCGCCCTTAGGAGTCCCACGGGAAGACCAAGCTATACAACTGAAACATATATGCAGAAGGCCTAGGTCAGTCCTACGCAGGCTCCTTTTAAAAAAGTGATTTGTCATCACATATTATTAGAAAAATACAAACTAGGGCTGGAATTATAGGGTGTACTACCACAAGCAGCTTATGCACTGGGCATCCAGACCGGGGCTCTGGGAGTGCCAAATAAGCCCTTTACCAAATGAGTCACTCTTCTCGAGTTGACTCCTTTTAAGACAAGGTTCTACTGTATGTCCAGGCTGGCTTCCGATCTGGGATCCCCCTGCCTCAGCCTCCTAGTTGCTGGGATTTTTACAGGTAGGTGAAACTATGTCTGGATGTGGAGGACATCAAGGGAGGGTTGGGGGGGAACTAGGTTTTGGGGGGATTGTTTTTCGGTGGCATTTATTTATTATGTGGTTGTGCCTGTACGCGAAAGTGTGAGTGCAATGTGGAGGGCACACTTGCCACGGTGTACACACAGCGAACATAGATCAGAGGACCCCTTTGCGGAGTGCATTCTCTCCTTCCACGTTTACACAGATGAACTCAGCCATCTCACCTGCCCTCGATTCGTTTTTCCTTTTGAGTCAGGGTCTTATGTAGCCAAGGCTGGTCTGGAAATTGCTAAGTAGCCAGGCTGGCCTTGAACTCCTGATCCCTCTACCTGCACCTCCCAGGGCAGAAAGTACAGACACTCAGCACCATGTTCAGCTTGCTTTGCTTTTCTCCCTAGGTAGTCCAGGCTGGTCTGGAATTTGCCTTGAGGCCCGGGCTTACCTGAATCTCACCAGCCTCCTGCCTCAGCATCCTGCATGCTGGGCTTACAGGCAGACCCCTGTATTACACCCAGTTAGAGCTGGAAAGTGGTTCTTAATTCCTATAGAGAAGCCTCCCCACTCCCACCAGGCGTTGTGGCACCCGCCTGTAGTCCGAGCTAAATGGGAGGCTGAGGCAGGAATGACCATTTGAACTGAGAAGTCGGAGGTCCATCTAGGCCCCATGGAGAGACCTCAGCTCAAACAAAAACCACATCCCTTTCACGCGCCCCTCACCTGGGAGGGTCCTACTTCACACACAGAGTCTGTGTCCTCTCTTTGGTTTCTAGGGCTCGGACACAGCAGTGGTCAGCGGCAGCATACAGCCCAGCTGACTGGCCTCAAGACGGGAAGTGGGAAAGACTTCCTGTTGGACACAGAGGGGTGGGCACCGAGGCAGTGGCCAGGCCCTGTGAGTACAGTAACAAAGATTTGGAGGCGAGACTGTGCAGGCGCTTCCTCTACTCTGGAGGCCTCGGGGCTACAGAGTCTGCACTGTGGCTTATTGTCATCTTGGTTATTTAGAAGGCTCTGGAAGGGGGATAGCAAAACACTGGGCGGGGGGGGGTGTCTGTGTTCCCACGTGACTTGTGTTAAGCCCCTCTCCTTCTTGGTGTTTCTTTCCCCACAGTGTTCCCTGTGCAGACATCCTGCTACGGAACACATTAATAGGCAGGCAAAGTCCTTGCTGCCAGGAGCTTTCCCTGCACCTTAAAAGAGGAAACACAGGAACCAGAAAGGCGGCTCTTCCAGAGGACCAGAGTTCAGATCCCAGCGCCCACAGCACGCAGGTTGCAGCAGCTTGAAACTCTAGCTCCAGGGGACTTTCGGCCTACAGCTTAATACATGTAATTAAAAATAACAAAAGGAATCCTTTATTTTAAAAAGTACACGAAGAAATAGAGGCTGGGGAGACAGCTCCGTGGTTCAAGTGTGAGGGAGGACTAAGGTTTGGACCCCCAGAACTCATGTAAATGCTGGCTGGGGCACGGAGGGCCTGCCTTGGACTTCAGCCTCAGAGGGCAGAGTCCGGGGATTCCCGGAAGAAGCCGGCTAGCAAGACTAGCTCTGTCTGTGAGCTCTGGGTTTGAATGCTGAGGGGCCTTTCCTCAGCCATGTGCATGCACACCACTACACGTATAAATACCCCACATGTGTGCACACCAGGCACAAGCACGAAAATAGGAGAATAACAAATAACAGAGAAACCAGGCAGGTTGCCACAAGCCTTTAATCCCAGCACTGGGGAGGCACAGGCAGGTGGATGTCTGTGAGTTGAAGGCTAGCCTGGGCTACATAGGGAAAGGAAGCCACCTAGAGCCTGTGCAATTGGTCTCAAGAAAGCAAGGGCCAGCTGGGCAGCGGAGACACATGTCTTTCATCCCAGCACTAGGGGGCTAGCTATGAATGTCTGAGGCTAGCCCCATCTACAGAGTGAGTTGCAGGGCAGCCAGGGCTCCTGGAGAAGTCTGGGATGCATCTTTGACCTCTCCTACCATCCTCAGGCAACCTGGCCAGGTCCCTCAGGAAGAGACAGTCCCAGTGCAAGGCTAGGTGGGACAGTTGTCCAACCCCATTCATCTCACCTCAGCCGGAACGGCTATCAGCAAGGAAAAGAAGACCGCACCAGTTTAGGCAAGGGGCCCTTACTGACTGCTGGTAAAAACAACGCAGACCTGTGCGAAATGGAAATCCAGGTGGAAGGTCCTCAAAAAACAAGTTCCTACTAGAATGTAACCCAGCTGTACCACTCCTGAGTCCACACCTGAGGGACTCCACGTCAGTAAACGTGATCCCCATGTTCACGGAGATTCTTGCACCCCCATGCTTAGGGCTGTGCTGTCCATAATAGGAAACAGAGCCAGCCTAGATGCCGCTCGACAGATAAGCGGATTTTTAAAATCTCGTTCACACTGGGCAGTGGTGGCGCACACCTTTGAACCCAGTGCTCAGGAGGCAGAGGCAGGCGGATCTCTGAGCTGGAGGCCAGCCTGATCTACGGAGTGCGTTCCAGGACAGCCAGGGCTACACAGAGAAACTTTGGTTTTTAAAAACAAACAAACAAACAAACAAAAATTCGGCTCACATAGACAGTGGAATTCTACGTAGCCCTGAAGAAAAGAGAAACCACAACATTGTGGGGGGAATGTATGGAACTGGGAATTATGTCAAGCAAAAATAAGGCAGACTCAGAAAGAGAGATTCTGCATGTCTTCTGCTAGCAGCGGAGCCTCGATCTGACCTATCTATGTAATGGGTATGACCATGCATGGGCATGTGTGAACAGATGATAAACTCTAGGAAAATGGATCACGAGAGGATGGATAGAGACCTTGGAGGGAGTTAGAGAAAAGCAAGGGTGACGGATTAAACATAATAAAGAGGGAACCAGGTGATGGAGGTGAGGGAAACGGCAGTAGAGGAGGGGGACAAGTCAGAAGTCGGACACACGTGTCATGATGAAACTCTTTATTTTATACGATGATCTTAAAATTAACAATATTAGTAATGGCCGGGCCTGTTGACACACCTTTAATCCCAGCGCTTGGGAGACAAAGCAAGCGTTTGAGGGTAGTCTGGTCTACATAGTGAGTTCCGGGCTAGCCATAGCAACATTGTGAGACCCTGTCTCAAAAATACTATGATGATAATAAGCAACAGGCATAGTGACGCTCACCTGTAATCCCAACACTTAGGAAGCTGCGGCCAGAGGATCCGGAGTTTCAGGCCAGCTCGGAGACACAGTGAGACCCTGCCTGCCCTGCATGCTTTTTAATCAACTGTGGTAGCATACCAAAAAAGCTCACGGCGGAGAGGCAGAGTGCTTGCCTAGCATGCAGGAAACCCATCTCCAGAGCCCCTCAAAACGGATGTGGCGACCTGTACTCAGAGCCCTTGGGAAGTACAGGCAGGAGGGTCTGAAGTCCCAGGTCATCTTTGTTGGCTACGCTGGAGTTTGTAGCCAAACTGGACTACAGCCTAGTCCTCAAAGGGATCACACCGGTACCACGGGCGCGGGTAAGGCTGAAGGCGGTCTGCAGCTACGCAGAAGCAAACTTGGGCCCTGACCGGAGGGGCTTTGACATCCCACGGACTTGGAAACCATGAGGGTCAGGGATTGCCTTGGTTGCAGGGGCCCTGATCTGAAAACAGGAAAAACTTCAAGGTGGGGCGCTGAAGCCAGCGAGATGGAGGAGCTGCGTCTGAGGGCGAGGGAGGCCCAGCCCCCTGGCTCAGGTAAGCCGGGAAGAATGCAGCAGCAGCAGCCCAGCCCTCCCGCGGGGCGCGTCGCTGTGACTCAGCCTACCAGGAAGGAGGAGTGCGCCCAAGCTCTCCGCCGCCCACACACAGCAGCCTGATCTCCGAGGGCTCTGGGGCGCCGAGTCCCCCGCAGCGAGCAGCAGACGTCCAGGGCGGGACCCCCTCCCGCCCAGTCTTCCCCCCCCAGAGCATCGCCCGGACGTGGCCGAGGGTGGAGAGAGCGCTGTGGGCGCCGTGGGGGCCATGCGAGTCCTGGCCCCGACGGCGCCCAGAAGACCAACGAGAGCTGTAAGTAGCGACTTCGAGGAGTGGGAGCCGGCCGTGGGGAAAGTCCATCCTTGGTGTCCCCCTTTCCTCTGGCTGGGAGGAGGTGGCCTGGCGCCTCCCTGATTAGCCCTGGAGGCAGCTCAGATTCAGTGTGGGGCCCGGAGGGGCTTCCTACCTGGGGACCACCTCCACGGGCCTGCCTAGCCCCACCCGGCTGCCTACGAGCTCTGAATCGGGTCCCGGGGCCACTCTGAGGGTCCCCCGGCCCCACCCCCTACCCCAATCTGCCCCCCCCCCCCCCCCACACACACCCCGCCCACTGCTTGATGACAGCTCGTCTGCACAGCCAGAGCTTACAATTCCTGTCCGGCCAACGGACAGCCCTCGCCTAACCTTCCACACGCACCCTCGTGTTAGAAAGTTGGGGTGCCATCCTGGAGCTCAAAGACACACTGAACAGTCCTTTTCCTGAAACGAATCCCCACGTTCAACTGGCCAGCACGGGGGGGGGGGGGGGGGGGCATGGGGATGCTTTTGGCGCCTAAGGGGCAGGGGAGGCTGGGGAGACACTAGCCGGGTTTCCCGGAGTGGCCAGTCTCCGAAGGGCTGCGCCCCACACTCCAGGCACCTAACTCCGAAGTGGGAGCGGAGGGCATGAACGAGGGGCTGCAGAAGAACTAGATTGCGCTGATCGCTGGGACAACGCGATCTGAGTGAGGGCTGCTACTCTGCAGACCATTTTCCCGGGCTCATGGTGACTTGTGGAAACTTTCACCAAGTTTAAGAGCGAAGGAAAACACGCAGCCCCTTGTGCAACCCGCGAGGTCCTCCCGGCCTGGGGAGGCGGAGATCTGGGGAGACCGGAGCCCCTGGCTCTGAGCGAGGGGAGGAAACCAGACGAGCTGGCTTCCTGTGGGGGCTCGGGCCTCGGACGCCCCGCGGACAGACGTGTCCTGCCCTGGCAGCCGCGAGTCCCGCACGGGGGAGGGGACGCTTGGGGGGGTGGCTGGCTGAGACAGCGAGGAGGGGGCGGGGACAGGGTGGGCCAGGGAAGAGGGGAGGAGCGAGGGGGCTGGAGCGAGAGAAGGAAGAAGGAAGGGGCGATCGGTGGGTGCGAGTTGGCGCTGGAATGGGAGCCAGGAGCGAGTGAGCGGGGAGGGGGGCGCAGGCGACACCCAGGTGGCGCATGGCGGGGTCCACGCGGTGAACCGCCTGGGCCAGCAGCGGGCAGCTTGCACGGATATGCGCTAGGGCACCCCTAGCTAGTCCCCCGGTTCCCCACGCACACCCGGGGGAGGCCCGTCCCGCCCGCTGAGCGCTGTTTCCCCCAGGTCCCGGACTGATGTCCCAGGTGAGCGGTCAGTGCCCTTCTCGCTGCGACGCGCCCCATGGAGTCCCCAGCGTTGCCCAGGACCCAGGTAGGAGCGGGGATGGAAATCGAAGGTGGAGCCGGGTGGTGTGAGATACTGAGAGGAGTTTGGGGGGATTTGGGTTGTTAGTTCTCTTGCAGAGGTGCAGGCGGATGGCCCCTAGGAGCTTGAGTAAGGGTGAGGTGAGAAGTCTGAATATTGGGGACAGGGTACAAGGACAGAAAAGGGAGTAGAGGGCTAGGGTGAGGAGGCAGAGCTGGGAGGGAGCAGGCGGCCATGGCTGTGAGGAGTTGGCTCCAACTCCCCCCAAGCCCCAGCCACACACACTCTCTCTCTCTCTCACTCACTCTCTCACTCCGTGGTGTCTGCCCATAATATTGGGATTTGTGTCCCAACCATTTCTGCCCAGTGTGTAAATATTTATGAGGGCCTTAGGCGGGGTGTGTGGCAGGAGGGGGGGGCGGTGTCTGAGTTTCTCTTCTTCCCTTCCCCCAAACTAAGCGGAGTGTTGCTCCAGCGCATTTTGAAAACTTTTGTCTCAGCAACTAGTGGCCACGAACCCGGCCCCTTCCCTCCTTGTTGAGAGCTGCGGTTCCCTCCCCTCCAGTCTCTGCCCTGCGTGGCACACACACACACACACACACACACACACACACACACACACACACAGAGACAGGCACACACAGACACACGCGTGCACGCGCGCGCACACACACACACACACACAGCACACTACAACGCAAATGCCCCTTCCCCCACATCAGCGGCCAAACTACCCTGATTCCCCCAGGGGCCTACAGACTAAGGAAGGGTGTGTGGCTCCCGGGCATGGGGGTGGGGTGAGGACCTGCCAATCTAGCTTTCCAATCCCTCACAGTCTAGCGTTTTTTTCTCTGAGGCACATAATGGACGCACAGATTCGTTCAGTCAGGGTGGGCAGGGTGCAGGAGTGTAGGCCCAGATTTCCTGACTTAAACCCCTATTTTGGCTCAGTCAGAGGCCCCGCCTTCCCCCCCACCCCAAACTAACCTCTCCTTTCCCCAGACCGGAGCAGTAATGAAGATCCTAGCCAATCCTGGACCTCAAACTCCCCTCATGGTCTTTGGACAAGTCTATTCCCCTTCTCTGGCCTCAGTCTTCACCCTCTCCTCCCGCCCCTGTCCCCTACCCAGGCCACCCAAGCTTGTCTGTCTGCTTGGGGGATGGTCTTAGCTGCCTGTCTACCTGGCCTGGTGGAGGGTTCCAAACACTGAACGATGTCTGGCCCATGGAGACCTTCCCCAACCTATTAAGTCTCTGTCTTATCAAAGCAGAGCCCTTGATAAGGGCTTGGAATTCTGGGGCACTGCTCCTCCAAGGACCAGGCTCCTTCAGCTTGGAAGGTCAGTGGGGAGCACTGGCTTTGAGCGCTCCGTGGTTGGGAGTGCTGGGAGGCAGGGGCTTGGGAGGCCTTTGTGTCTGGGAACTTTCTCTGTCTCTCTTGGCCTCTCTCCCACCCCCACTTTTCCATGCTTTCTTCCTTCCCCTATTCATTTTCTCTGCTCTCTCCTCTGATATCTCCTTCCAAGATCCCCTCCCTTGTCTGACCTGCTCTCCACCCAGTGGCAGGGGAGGGAAGCAAAGCTTGCTCGGGACAGGCTGCAGAGTTTGGGGGGTGCTAGGGGTTCTGCTGGAAAGGCTTAGCCCTGGGCTGTAATTTGAGGCCCCCCCCCCCCAGTGTTCCAGCAAGCCCCCTCCCCCGCCCGAACTGGGCCAGACAATGCAGCTTTTATAACACTTGTGCTGTTCTGTCCTGTCCGCTACCCAGGAAGAGCCCAAACCGCAGGAGACTCAGCCAAAACCCCACAGAGTCCTGACTCTGAGACCAGAACCCCCCGTGCCCACAGATCAGGGAGGCAGTGCACTGTCTCCCGGAGTGGAAGCTGCTGGCTGGATGGCCGGGGAATGACATGGCCTCCTCTTTCAGTCGTCTGAGACACAGACAGGGCACAGGACTCAGGGCAACTCTGGTTAGGGCAGGTGGCCAAGTACTCACACTCTGACCCCCCCCCAACACACACACACACACACACACACACACACACACACACTGGCCTCTACCCCACCCATTCCTGAGAGCCCCAAGAGCCTGGCTCCCTAACCCACAAGATTTCTGCCCAGCACTGCGGTGTCACATTGCCATCCATGGTTCTAAATTCAATTTCCTGGGAATTGGAGCCTTTGGACCTAAAATAAAACAACTGGACGGAGCCTAAGCAGCAGCTCAGATCCTTTCCAGCCCTCCGCTTGGTGGATTTGCACTTGTTAAAAAAAAAAAAAATCCACCTTCCCTGGCCTCCTTGGGGTTCAAAGCCAGATACCATCCCTAATCCTTGCTGTACCCCTTCTTTCTTCTTCCCCTAACCTGGGGCATTCTGAACACCAACACTCAGCCACAGACGTGCAGAAGTAAATACTGACCGCCAAAAGAGAAGGAGATGGACCAGGGTCCAGTCTGTAGGAGAAGCCAGCCCTTCACTGCCGAGTTGTCAGTAACATGGCTGTTCAGAGGGAGGACTGGTGTCACGGGTGTCAGGGGAGGCTTTCTGGAGAAAGAAAAGACGTTGTGGCTGGACCAGGAAGGATGTCGGCAGTGTGGTCATGAGGAACTCTATAAGCATAGGTAGTTTGGCCAGAAGCTGTTGTGATGGCCCAAGGGCGTGGACAAGCTAGTCTGCCTGGAACACAAGACCTTTGTACATTGAGTGAGGATGTGTGAGGTCTTGAGTCTCTGGCTTGCAGAGAGTGAAATCTAGGGTTTCAGACACCACTCTCTGGCCTGAAGGCCTGGTCTTCTCTCTCCAGAGACCATCATAGCCTAAAGGTCAGGGAGCCCAGGTTCACTGGCCGCAAAGGCAAAGATGGGGACTGGACTTGGAGCCCCAGAACATGGGAACTGGCCAGGCTTGAGGTGAACCCATCCCACCCGGAAGAGGTTCCCCTCTTCCTTCCTGGGCAAGAACCCCCCTCAACCCCAAGCTGATGGACAACAGACAGAAGGGCCCCCACGAGGTCCCTGCTGCTGCTGCAAGTCTCCCCAACTTTCCTGTGGGGTGTGTAGATTTAAAAACATACCTTCCACTCCTTTCCAGGCTCTGACATGCAGACCAGAACCTTACCGCCTGTTAGGGATGAGCGTGTGTTGAAGTGAATCCTGTCTGGATTTCACCAGGGTGCAGGACCCTAGCATGTTAGAGGTCACTGTGTAAATTAATAATGATGTCACCCTGGTCAGCTGGGTAAGATAGACTGGGGGGCCAAATGGCACCTGCTAGGACTCCAGCTGTGGACATCAGCCCCTTTCCCCCCAGGCCTTCAGTGGGGTCCTGTATGCAGGCCCACAGCGCTCCCTCTCGGCCTTTCTTGACTCCACCCTTTTCTACACGCACACTTCGGGAGAGTCTCCTTAGATATGCTCTCTTCTCTTCTCCACAGTGGACAGTGGAATCTTTTGGTCACAGAAGGAAAACCACGCTCTTTAGCCTCTTGACCTGCAAGTCCTCTGCCCAGCTGTGCCTGGCTCTTCTGTCCCACCTCTCCCAGAAGTGCTGTTGCCAGCCCATGTCTTGGGGTCCAGATCCCTGGAGCTGACAGCTCTTGCTGACTCTGCATTTTCCTTCCAGCTCTGCTGGCCTGTCTCTGAGCACATGCTTGGTTTCCCTCTTCTGCACCCCCATCCCCACTGGGACCTTCCTAGCTTCAGGAGGTCTGTGCCTCTGTGTCCAGGCTGAACCGCTGGTAGACTTGGTCCCAGAATGGCAAACTTCCTCAGGTCTGCTCTCTCCAGGACTTTTTTTGTTCCTTCCAGGTACAGGGTCACCAGCCCTGTAGGAGAGATGCTTGAGTGAATAGGACAGAGATGGGGGCTTCCATCTCCTTAAATTTCTTTCTTGTCTCCCTTCTCAAGCCCTGGGGGCCAAAAGAGCAGGAATCTTGACTCTGTCTCGACAGGACTGTGCACTCTGGTGACCTCAGGAGAAAGTCTGGGAAGCCAAAGGCCTTGATGACCAGCTGCTGTCCAAGCTCCCAGACTCAACATCACCAAGTGTGACTGAAAGAGACCTCTCAGCAGGTCTCTTTTGCCTGCTCCCTCAGGCCCCCTAGCTGGTGGCTCTGGGTTCTTCGTTACTGTTGCCCTTTCCCTCAGCCCACACCAACAACTGTTTAAGACTCAGGATATTGCTTTCTCCAGGGAACACACACTCGCATACACACACACACACACACACACACACACACACATATACACATACACACGGAGGGGACTGTTAAAATATTTTTCTAAAGACTTGGTTTCATGAGGCCCAGGCTGGCCTTGATCTTGCTACGTAGACAAGGCTGGCATTTAACCGTTGATCCATTTGTCTCTACCTCTCAAGGGCTGGGATTATAGGTTTTTAATACCACACCCTATCGGGATCCCTAAAAGTTAGCATTATAACAAGTGCCCTTTCCTCATCAATCCTCGCACACACCCCTGCTCTGACTTTTTTTTTGTTGTTACTGTTTTTGGAGGGGATCTTGCCACACAGCTCAGACTAGATCCCAGCTCTCAGAGCATCCTGGGTGACCTGCGCCCTCACACCCGGCAGCGTACAGTCACTTGCTTGCTATTTTGCTTTTATGAAGTCTCATTCTGTAGCCCAGGCTGACCTGAAATTCATGGGCAATCTTTCTGCCCGAGCCTCCCTAGATTACAGGTGTGGGCCACCACGCCTGGCCAGCTTGCTTCAGCTCTGGCCCCTTGGTGTATATGATAGGCACTTGCACCGTGACAGGCAGCGCCTTTGGTGGTGGCCTCGTTTTCCTCATGCTGGTACGCCCAGTGCTTGATTTGGTTAGGCACCTTTTAGATACTAATATGTGCTGGAGGGAAGGAGGGAGACGGGAAGGCTAGATAGGTAAATGGGCGAGTGTTGGCAAATGGCTCCTCTGCTGTGCATTTTGCCCCAAGAGCTAGATATTTGTGTTTCCACACAAGGTAACTCAAATTCTGTAACCAAGCAGGTGTGGTGGTTCACACTTGTGATCCTAGAGCTCAGGAGCCTGAGGAAAGATTGCTCATTAAGTTCAAGACCAGCCTGGGCTGCATAGTGAGACCTTTTCTGAAAAAGGTGTGGGAGGGTGCGGGGGAGAAGATGGCTCAGCCATTAGGAAAGCTTGATGCTCTTGCTGAGGGGGCAAGAGCACCCACATCAGTGTATCTATCACCTGCTGGGAAGTCCAGCTGCAGGGGATCTGGCACCCTCTTCTGGTCTCTGTGGGTATGGCTACTCATATGCACACACACACTCACACACACACACACACACCCTCCCAGAACACAGATTTAAAACGAACATTTTCAAAAGCTTTTTGAAAATCCTGAAATTTACTCTTCCTTAGGTCTTTTTCATGACAACATGTGGGAGAGTCAGGAGCCCAGGGCCTGCAACTGTAGAGAGATGTTTCTAGGAGCCAGGGGTCAGTGTCTGGAACTAGAAATTCAGACCCAAGTGCCTAGCTGTGTTCTTTCATGTCAACGCAGTGTCCACTTTCCAGTCATGTCAGGGCTGACAGGTCCTCCCTCTAGCAGACAGCATGTCCTTGGCTGTGGCTCCACTTGTCTGTTGTCCCTTATTTCAGCCACGATATTTGCCAAGAGCTAGCTGTTTGACTTCTACGTCCTTAGTCCATCCAGGTTTGGTGGGGGGAGGACTTTCAATGGACCCTCGCAGACAACGGGGCTGGAGAGAACGCTCACCTTTGTGCTGTGTGCAGCGTAGATTGGCTGCTGATCTCTTACCTTTGTTTCCTTCCACCTCCCCATCCCCCACCCCTCACCCCCATCTATGTAGCCTGCTTCCCCTTTGGTGCCTGCCTCTCTCAGAGTCTCTTGCTTCTGTTTCTTCTCTCTGTCTCTCTCTCTCTTTCTCTTATATATATATATATATATATATATATATATATATATATATATAATGAGGGGAGACACAGGTAGAGAGGCCATGCCCTGAGACCACTGCCATCCCAATGCACAGCACAGCCTTGGGTGTAAAGAGGCAACTGCACCCCAAAATTGTCATAGCTTGGGCCCTGTGAGCCCTGGCTATGCCTCCGGACCTCCCCAAGCCCACAGGCTAAGGCTGTGGCCCCTCAGACACCTCCCATTGTCTGTCTTCTCCTGGGAGCCTAGGGGCCCCCTGGTCCTGCTGCTGCGGTTTGAAGGTGGCTCATTCCCTCATTCCGCCCACCTTGCCCAGAGCCACACTAATTACATGGGCCTGCGGTTCACCTCTTCCCCAGCCTGGCCGTCTCCCGGCCCGTCTTCCTGCCTCACCCCAGGTTGCTCTCTCACTCCTCTCCCAGGCCAGCATCCCCTCTCTGACCCAGTTTCTCCCCATCTGCCTTCTTCCGGTCCCACCGCGGCTCCCTGCTCAGGTCTACCCAGGCCCTCTCTAGGCTTTGTCTTTCTTCTTTATGGCTGACTTTCTTGCTAGTCCCAGACAGCCTGACGCCAAATCTCGGCAGCTCTGCCTTCCCCACCCAGTCTCCCGAATTCTCTCTTCCTGCCTGTCAGACTCCATGACTGTCTCTTCGGCTCCACTGTTGCGCAGCTCACCCGTTTTCTCCGACGCTGCGCACCCCTCCTCTCCCCTCTTTCTACCGTAGGCCTCACCTCCTGATGCCACGCGGGTGTGCTCAGCCATGCATGCCCACATTCACATGTCCACGTGCCCTTGCACGCATAGGCGTTAGGATTCTGGAACTTTTCAATTTGGAAGTCAAACACCACAGCCAGATGGGGTGATGCCGGGCCACGATGAGGGGGCAGAAGTGAGGGTTCACGTGTGTAGGTCAGACCTGGGTCGGAGCCCATGGGAGGACACCAGGAAAACGACCCCTGATCATCTGCTTTTTTCCTAGCCCAGACCATGTCCCTCCTCCCTGGGCTGGAGGCAGCAGCAGGAGCCACTCATCCTGCAGAGGCTTCGCCAGAAGAGGGCTCGCTGGAGGAGGTGGCACCCTCCATGCCTCAAGACAGCTGTCTTGGGGCTCCCCAGGCTCTGAACAGCACTGACCTCAATGTCCCCACGGAAGCTGTGACATGTGAGTCCAAGGGACCTGGGTTTTGGGGTGGTAACATATTGGGTTACCCTAGGAAATCCCACCCAGACACACTGTCAGAAGTCCACACGCTGTCTCCGCTCTGAGCACTAGTGTAGGCGGGGAGTGGGGTGGGGGAGGTCGGGGAGGTTGTCCTGGCCATGTGAAGTCAGCAGCTTTCTATCCCCCTACCCTGTAAGAGCCCGGGCTCCCGGCAGTACGGCTTGAGGTGCAGAAGAGGTACCCTTTGCCTCAAAGAGAGAGAATTGGTTTTCTGGACAGAGCCAGAAGCTGGAACACAACGCCAGGGTACCCTTCAAGGCAGGACCAGGGCGCAAAGGAAAGAGGGAAGCCCCCAGTTGCTCTAGAGAGAAAGAAGCAAAATTCATCTCATTTTTGTTTGTTTGTTTGTTTGTTTGTTTGTTTTGTGTTTTTCTGTGTAGCCTTGGCTTGGCTGTCCTGGACTCAATTTGTAAACCAGGCTGGCCTTGAACTGACAGAGATACTCCTTCCTCTGCCTCCCAGAGTGCTGGGATTGCAGGCATGTGCCACTGTGCCCTGCTGAAATTCATCTTCTTTACCAGGCCTGGATGGAGGTCCCCACAGAGCCCAAGGGGCCAGGCAAGGGGTTGCCAGGATCGTTTTGTAGTAAGCAAATGCTGCCTTCCAGGATAGTATCTCAAAGCGAATATTCTGTCTTTGAATGAACTTGAGTGCTTTCCTAGAGAGGCATCACCATAGCTCTTGTCAAGCCCTTCTACAGAAGAAGAAACTGAGACACAGTCCTAGACCAGACCAGGACACAAGCCTGGCACTCAAGTCTTCTGGCCCCACTCTGCTGTGCCCACCTGGCCTATTGGCATAAACATTGTGCCTTCTACACTAGCCAGGGCATCTGGGGCCAAGCTGGACAGCCTGGATGTAGGGCTCTTAATTCCTAAGAGGGCAGTGTCTTGCGTGCACACATACACACACACAATTGAGAGAAGGAGGTCATGGCCGTGGCCACAGGGAGGGGTCCCCAGGTGGGAGTGGGACAGACACCCCTGTGTCTATGGCCTTGAGTGTTTGCACTGTGACTCAACACCACCCCCACCCCTTGGCTACCCCACGGCCAAGGCCACAGGAGAGCTTTGTGTCTGCGGCACCTCCCAGGGCTCTCGGCTCACCACACACTCCCTCCCTCTGGCCACTGCACCCATGTTTAGGCAGCAGGGCAAGGGACAGTGAAGCCGGCCAAAGGGAGGCTCAGCCCGGGCATCTCTGTGGAGCCAGGATGATTCAGGCCCGGCCTCTCCCAAAGCTTTGCTCCTGTTTACCAGGTGCAGGCCCCAGCCTTGCCTGCCCCAACTCCCAGCATGACCCCTCTGTTGTCCTCCCAGGCTCCAGGCCTCCTCCCTCCACTTCCTAGCTGTGGAATCTTTTGTGAATTCTACCAGCTGGTCCTGAAGGGTTTTCATCTGAGAAATGGGCCGATATTAGATTGCCTGTGATGTTTAAAGACATCAGTGCCTGTCAGTGTCTTAGTACACTACCCTGACCCTAATACCTGCTCAAAACGTGTTAACTAGCTACCACTTGTAAGAAGTGGTTGTAACAGCGTATTCCCCAGCCTGTTGGTTCCCAGCCTTTGCACCACACCTTGCCTCCTCTTTGTCCTGAATCCAGCTCAAAATCTCAAATTAGTTCCACTTCTGAGAGTTACCAGCTATGTGACCTTGGGAAACTTACTCTCCCTCTCTGGAATTATGTTTCAAAACGTAGTGACCCAGGCGTGGTGGTCTACACCAGTAATCCCAGCACTTAGGAAATGGAAGCAGGAAAGATCATGGACTTGAACGGGCTCAAGTCCAGCTTTGGCTACAAAACACTCAGTGGGAAAAAGGGTCTTATAAAGAGGGTTCTGAGAGGAGACAGTTAGCAGCTGGGGACAGCGACTGGCCAGCACACAGTGGGTGCCCAGACCCCTTCCTCTCTCCTGAGCACCCGAGGCCCTTGACATCTCCCGCCTGTGAAATTTAAATCCACAAGCCAGCCTGGAGAAGTCAGGGCTCCAGGGCCCAGCTAAGGGCTGGAAGTACCCCACGTTTGCTGGAGACATTTGTCCCAGACCTCCTGTGCCCCTTCTTATCCCCTACCAACATAACATAAGCAGCAGAGGATTCGGGGTTCAGGGGAATCCCCAGGCCCCTAAAATTGGTTGCTTGGGCTGGGAGGGTAACTGGCCTTCCAGGAGGTCTCTCTCCCCCACCAGCTCTTCTCCCCATCCTCCCTGACCCCCAACCTGCCCCAGTCACCTGGATCAGATGCCCTCTGCACTCTCTACTCCATAGCAGCAGGGCAGGATGGGACTCGGCAGAATATGAAGGGGCTGCTGTGAGTCCAAGGCCAAGTGTGCATCTCCAAACAGATGTTCCCAATAATTCATCCAGCAGCACCAGGGGTGAGAACAGCTGGGGGTTGGCAGAGGCCAAGGTGAAGGTTAACCCCTTCACTGCCGTGTTTTAGCAGTCCTAGCCAGCCATGTCTCCCCAGCCCACAACTCAAGCCCAAATCCCAGAGCCTAAAACAAGAGAACAGATTCCATATGGGAAAAGAAAGTGGGTCCTAGGCCCCCCTGCTCTGTACCTCTGGTATGGATTTTAGTTCTGGTTTTTCTGGAATGAGCACTGCTATGGGAGTTGGAAGCTGAGCCCTAGTCTGCCACTGTTGCATAGTGTCACTCTGGGCTAGTCATTTCTGCTTTCTGGGCCTCAGTTTCTCCATGTAAAGAGGACAAATCTGCCTGAGCTTCCCTGAGGTGCGCCTAAGAGTGAAGGAGGCAGGATTCAAACTCACTTTCCTTACCTTCTCTCTTCATCTCTCCAGGCCAGCCTCAGGGGAACCCCTTAGGCTGTACCCCATTACTGCCAAATGGCTCCGGCCCCGGCTACCCCTCAGAACTGGGCAGTGCTGGGCACGCGGGGAACGGTGCTCTGGGAGGCCCCAAGGTCCACCGGAAGTTGCAGACGCATCCATCTCTGGGAAGCCAGGCTGGGAGGAAGAGTAAAAGCAGCAGCAGGGGGTCCTCACAGGTTCCCCTCCAGGCACAGGAAGGTAAGGCCCCTGCCACCCCACATCCACAGACAGGTGCCATCCCCAGCTTGCTGCTCAAGAAATCCACAGCTCAGCTGGGCACACTGGCCCATGCCTGTTAATCCCAGCACTCTGAGAGGCTGGGGCAGGAGGATCTCCGTGAGTTTGAGGACAGCCAGGGCTACACAGAGAAACCCTGTCTCAAACAAACAAACAAGAAATGCACAACTTAAATAACAACAAATAACCCAAACCAAACACAGCCCAGCTAAACCCAGTGCCTCTCGCCTGCTGCCTCGGCACTTAGAAGGATGAGGCTGGAGGACCAAGGTCCTCTTGGGCTACATTTCGAGACCCCGCCATGACCTGAGTTTGCTCCCTAGGGTCTACGCGGTGGAAAAGGAGTGCTGCTTCCTACAAGTTGTCCTCTGACCTCCACGTGTGTGCGGGATGTATGCACAGAAAGGCAGACCTTAGGAGTGGACCATCTGTTTAGTCAGAGTGAAAGGAGGGAATAGAACGATGCTGAGCTGCAGGCAGGGGTGTGTGTGTATGTGTGTGTGTGTGTGTGTGTGTGTGTGTGTGTGTGTGTGTGTGTGTATTTATATGTGTGTTTGGGGAGTGGGAAGGAGTTATAGCAAGGGAGGCCAGAAGTTCTCAGAAAACACACAGCTGCTGTTCCAACACCACAGAGAGCCTCTGTGGGCTGCCGCAGGGTTGCTGTCCACTTGCCCCACCAGGTATCACAAAGCAGCCGTTCATAGATCAGGGACCACCTGATGTCAGCCCTGTTCATGTTGGAGGACCCCAGCCTGGCCGCCTGCAAGCCGGATTCAGTGTGTGCGTTTGCTGTGGTTGTTGCTAAGATTTATTTTATGTGTTTGAGAGTTTTGCCTGCACATATGTATGTGTGCTGTGTGTGTGCCTGTACCCTCAGAGGCCAGAAGAGGGCGTCCGATCCCTTGGGACTGGAGTTACAAATTGTTGAGAGCTACCACGTGGGAGCTAGGAATTAAACTGAATGGAATCAAACCAAGGTTCTCTGCGAGAACGACAAATGCTCTTAACCACTGAGTCGTCTCTCCAGTGCCTGCCCTGTCCCGAACCACACACGTGTGTGTTTAAGTAAGGCATTTTGACATCGTCTCACCCCCTGGGGCAGATTCAGCCAAAGTATTGAATGACTGGAAGTCATTTACTTAGCTTGCCCTAGGGGGTGGAGAAATGGCTACAGGGTAGATCTTTTGTTTAGCAAGTTCAAGGCCCTGGGTTTAATTCCCAGTGCTGCAAGAAAATAAATGATAATAACAACAACTGTGCATTCTGGGGCATCTGCTACATGCTAGGTACCCAGCCCATGGGAACAGGAACATTGAAGTGACACGTGTGTTTGGCATTTGGCTAGTAGACTGAGACCCCAAGGCAGGGAGGGACTCTGGGAAGGCCTTAACAACTAAACCAATGATGTTGAGGGGCACCAATGACCTACTGGAACACAGGGATGGTTGGAATGGACTGAGCAGTGATTTACCATATCTGCCTTTGAAGAGATATGCTGCTGAAGAGATATCCATGCTGTGTGTAGAGAGACCACTGGGCAGCCACACGGGATGCTGGATAACATTCATCTGCAGAGTGCAGCTCTGGTGGGAAGGGCTGGTGCTCTGTGCCCTGGCCTGGCCCTCAGGAGGGCTAACTGCCCAGCACTCGGCAGTATACAGTTCCGGGATAGAACTTAGGACTTGGTGCAGGCACTTAGTAGGAAACCGTTGTACTGAATGAGCCACATCCTGTTCTGGACACTTGTGACTCGTCTGTGACCGACCAAGGCAGAGCCTGGCAAGTGTGAGAGGCTAAAATGCAGCGGGAGGGAGAGCCAGGAAGAAGAGGGGCGGGGGGGGGGGGGCATAGGGTATGCCGGGGCAGGGAGAGCTCTGATTTCTGCTGGGCATGGGTCGTCGAGCCTGCTGCCACCCAGCAGAGATGACATTTGGAGAACTGGGGAAGGAGCGGAGTGTGTAGTCCAGGCGGAGAGAGTGGGACTGATTCGGCGGCGCTTGGCCTGGGTTCAGCCAGAAGATCAGTATGGAAGAGCAGCAGGCGCCAGGAATAGTTAGGAGAGATGAGGTCTCTGGGCCTGGGGAACCTCAGCTTTTCTCCTTTGGGGGACGGAGCTCAGTGATAGCTCTGAGAAGAGCAGGATCTGATACGGCCTCTTTTATGTGCACTAGTGTGAAGGTGTCCGATCCCCTGGAACTGGAATTACAGACAGTTGTGAGCTGCCGTGTGGATCCTAGGAATTGAACCTGGGTCCTTTGGAAAGGCAGACGGTGCTCTTAACCACTGAGCCATCTCTCCAGCCCCCTGATACAGCCTCCTTGTTTTTATTTTAATTTTTATTTATTCAGCCTCTATTTGCAAAGGATCTTCCTGGCCCTGGCGTAAAACAGATTGGTGAGGTTGTAGCCAAAGACAGAGAGTGAGGAAGGAGCAGAATTCTGGATTATATATTTTGTTGTTATCTGTATGTTGTTTGTTTTGTTTTTGAGACGGGGTTTCATGTAGCCCAGGTTGGCCTCAAACCCATTGTGTAGCTGAGGATGACCTTGAAATGCTGATCTTCCTGTTTCTGCCTCCCAAACACTGGGATTGCGGGTGTGTGCCACCATGGGAATGGGAGATTTATGGAGGTCCAGCCCAGGGCCTCCTGCAGTCACTCTATTAACTAAGCCACACCCCCAGCCCTTCGGGGATCCCTTTAAGTGGCTAACTGTCTCAGTGCCTCAGTTTCTTCACCTGTGTAGAATGAGGCTGATTAACAGCTCACACCAGAGAGCTGTTACAGGAGGCCTAGGTGAGCTCACTCCCAGCACAGCGCTTACAACCGTGCCTGGACCACCTCTTCACCCACGAGCTCGTTAAATACATACCGAGAGGGCGAGGGCGGATGCAGACTGCCCAGGCTCCCTGCAGGCCCCACTCGGATTTGCTTGACTCACACTGCAGGAGCCACGTGAAACTGCAGGTCCTCAGCAGCCCCGCTGTGCTGCTGTGGCTGGGGCTCCCTTGTCCCCGTCTCTTAACTCGCCCGTCCACTGCCCACAGATTGCTGTGTCCACTGCATATTGTCCTGTCTGTTCTGCGAGTTCCTGACTCTCTGCAACATCGTCCTGGACTGCGCCACCTGCGGCTCCTGCAGCTCTGAGGACTCCTGCCTCTGCTGCTGCTGCTGTGGCTCTGGCGAGTGTGCCGACTGTGACCTGCCGTGCGACCTGGACTGCGGCATCGTGGACGCCTGCTGCGAGTCGGCGGACTGCCTGGAGATCTGCATGGAGTGCTGCGGACTCTGCTTCTCCTCCTGAGGCCGCAGGCTGGCCCCAGGCTGTCACCCAAGGCCCGACGCCTCCCCTGGCCCCGGGGGCCCCCTCAGAATCCCAGCCCAGATGTGACAAGGTGGTGTGCTCTGAGGGACCACCTCAGCCACGGAACAGGTCCGCTTTGGACAAGCCCGTTCCCCTTGATGGGAGGGGTGGACCAGGAAACACCACATCCGGAACCTGGTAGGACAGAACCAGTTAGCTGCCAACACTCAGAACACTGTGAAAGGTGGGGGTGGGGGGCAGGGATGGGAGGCCCAGGCCCTCTCTACCTCTCCGCTCCAGGTGCCCGCCTCCCTCTGCTACCCCAGCTTTGAGGACTGAAAATGTGAAAAGACACCCGCCCGGCCCATTGTCAGGCCGCTGCTCTCCTCCCCTGCTCATTTACCGGGCTCCTGTGAGGGCCTAACCTGCACAGTGAACCAAAAGGACAGGGCTTGGGGTGGTAGGTGGGTGGGTGGGAAGGGGAACCGTGTGGACAAGACTGGAAGGGGGTAGAGGGAAGGTCTGTTCACTTCATTGCTGTAAATAAAGATACTCTGCTCTCAAGTTTCCGCTCTCCTCCAGACGCTTTACAAAGTCTACAGTCACAAATGCTGGAAAGCAAACCCCTCCCTCCAGCCCCTGACGGCACCTTGTGTGGGGCCTCCGTGGACTAAGAGGTCACACGTTCGCCACACAGGCGTGAGGAATCTGGGAACCTGTGTCTGTCGTTGCCGTGTTCCTACAGCAAGACGGGAGGCTGTCTGGAAGCCAGAAGGCCAGCTGTCACACAAGAAACTGCTTCAAACAAGATGGAAGGTGAGGGCTGGCCCCGAGGTGGCCCTGAGACTTCACACAAACCTTACACACACGTACACGCGCACAGGCGTGCATGCACAGGCGCACACACCTCTTGGGCAGGCCTGTGCTGTTCTCTGGGGTCCCTCTTTCTTCATCCTAAGAAGACACACCGCCCTTCTCCCTAGCTCATGACTTCACTTCCTGCAAGAAAGGGAAAAGGATAGCTCCACTCCTCACCACTGTTCCTGCTGCCCGCCAGCTGACAGCCGAGTCCGGCAAGGGAAGAGTTAACCTTGGCATAGTGTAATTAACAACAGATGTGCTCAGGCTTTGATTAATTAATCTCCTGCTGACTAAAGCGTCTCCCAGCTTCCCTATGGACTTGCTCCAAAGCACAGGCTGACCCTGTGTCAGCTGCCGAGGGGTGCCTGGGAAGGGGTCACTCCAGGCCTGAACACCCTGACTGGGACCTGGGATTCTGTGGGTAGGGGGCAGATGTGGCCTGAACAAGGGTCATAGTCCCTGGCTCAAGTCCTTCCCCTAGCTGCCAGAGGCTGGGAAAGAAGGAAGCCATGTCAAGACCACGGGGGCCTCAGGTCATGGGTCTAGTAAAAGACCTACTTTTTTCAGGTAAAAAGTAGGACGTGGCCAGCACTGGCAGACCTGGGCATCAGTGAATGGCACTGGGGTACACAGGCCCATGGGGATCAGGGGTGACTGAGGAGGGCACACAGATATGTGTGGATATGCTGCTTTCAAGCTCGGTCGGTGGCTGGATTGGCTCACAGAGTTTCTGGAGGGAAGGACTCTTGGAAAAATGGCCAGAGGCAACCCGGAGTCTCTTTAGGATTATTGCAGTGTGGGCTTCGCTGCAGGAGCAAAGGGTTGTGGCAGGCCTTAGGGGACTTCTGCCTCACACTGCCCATGCCATAGGCCTTACTTTGCCTACTTCCTGGATCTCTAACCGGAAACAGGAGTCACACAATCATGCCAAGAAAAATGTACACAGGACCCCTAGTGTTCATTGGTTTGTCTATATTCATTTGTTTACAAATTTTATTTAGTCACTGCAATTTCTAAGGTTCAAGAGTCCAATCAGCATTTTGTATGGGCTGTTTGTTTGTTTGTTTGTTTGTTTTGAGACAGGGTTTCTCTGTAGCCCTGGCTGTCCTGGAACTCACGCTGTAGACCAGGCTGGCCTTGAACTCACGGAGATCCACCCGCCTCTGCCTCCCCAGCGTGATCAAAGGTGGGCGTCACCACATGTAGCCTCTTTTTGTTGCTGTGTTTTAATAGAAAGTGTGAGGTGACTGGCAGACATGTTTTGATCTGAGCGTGGACTGAGGCAGAGCCACCGAATTTGTGACTGGCCAACTCTCAGATGCGTGGCGTGGCTCTAGTCTTGTCCATTCTCTGTAGTCAGGAACACACCCATTACATGAAAGTCCATCTCTGAAGAAAGTAAAAAGCACATGTAATGGCACATGCCAGCGATCCTGTACTCTGAAGGCTGAGTATAGGACTGAGTACAGGTGTCTCAGGTAAAGAGTCTGACTGTGGCATTCCTGGACCCATGAGTGTTTATGAGACCTGACAGGGCCCCCAGTGGGCCTCTGTGAATGTCGACCAGCCTCCATGCATGTGGCTTCAGGCTGCCCCCCTCTCCCACCACCCTGACCTCTTTTCATCGGAAACTTGTGGGGGGCTTCCATTCAGCCCCTGGCGACCTGAGAGCTCCCTCAGCCTGGGGCTTGAGGGCGGAGAGGTAGTCAGAAGAGCCAGGGTAAAGGAGAGGGCGAGGGGCTCCTGACCAGCTCAGCATCTGGCCCAGGTGGCAGGAAGCCCCTCCTGGCTTCCCTCTCCGGCCTCCCTCTCCGCTCAACAGATTGCTGGCAGAGGCAGGAAGAGGCACCTCTGCAGTCCAAACATTGATTTCCTGTTGTAGGCTCCAGCCTGTTTTCTTTAGGATAGTGGCTGAATCCCCAGAGCTGAGCAGGGTGGGGGTAGGACGCAGGAAGGATTTAGCTAGGCCCCAGCGCGCGCGCGCGCACGCACACACACACACACACACACACACACACACACACACCTTCATACCCACACACAGCTTCATATGCATACTCATTCCTGTGCACATTCCTTCAGACACACAGCTCCCATTCATATGCACACTCATTCACACAGGCCCCTCAGGCCACACCCTTTTACTCTCTTTCTCTCTCTCATTCCATATAGTCACATGGCAAACCCCATTCTCCATTCCAGAGCCTAGACCCGCCTGCCTGCTTCCCCAACTTCCTTCTTTCCTAGGTACCTCATCACACTCCGCCCTTGACCCAGCTGTACCAGCCAGCCTCCCAGGAAAACCCTGGCTGGGCACCTCCTCCTCTGCCCCACAGTTCTCTGACTGACGGCACCTACCTTAGCTTACCGCTGGACAGAGCTGGGTGACAGCTCTTGCTCTGCTGTGGGTCACAGAACAAGGCCCCTCCCCTCTCTGGGCACATGGAAGCTTGAGGGACCCTGGAGAGCTGATGGCTGGAGTCAGGGCGCTCCGCCTCTGCCTGTCTCTGATCTTGGGAGCAGTGCCCTGGACACCCTTGTCCAGGATACTTCCTCATTCCTGAGCTGTCCACACCAGGGTGGCCATTCTCACACTTGTAAGGGAGAAGATGAGGAGCACAGGTGAAGCCTGAATCGATGTTGCCTCATGTTCTGGGTCTGAGAGACGCCGCAGTGGGGGCAGAAGCTGCTTGTGGGCGGGGATGTTCCGCCATCCCCTCAGCTCCCTCATGTTAACTGCACTTCCTGCTCTTGACCCAAACCTGGACACTCAGAGCTTCAGAGCACCACTCCTGGCCCCAGACTACTGGAAGGGGCACCTGTTGGCAACTAGCCGTGCCCCTCAGCCAGAGTGGGTTTGGGGTGGTCCCCTAGGGCATTGGAGCTGCTGCAAACCCCTATGGCTGGGTGTGTGGAGGGCAGTAAGGCTCCACCATAGCTGAGAAAGCGGCGAGGCCGCAGGCAGGAGCTTTGTGGACAGAGATGACAGGACTCATGGCTTTTCTGAGCTCTGTCTTTCCTAGGGAGAGGCGGGTCACAGCGTGAAATGACAGCCGTGTCTCATCAGCTTGGCTACCTGTTCCCAGCCCTTCTCACCACCCCTCATCTCATAACTCACACCTCTAAACCTGCTTTTGGGGGATAACACCCTCCTAACCACAGAGGGGTAGAGGCTGGCTGTGTGCTGTGGGGTGTCCACACACGAGCTGCCCACCACAGTCTCAGCCGGCACCCCTGAGGGGTCCCGTGTCAAGGACAAGTAAAAGACTGATTCACTCAGCGTAAGTTACAGGCCTACTGCTGTGTTGACTGCCTAGGCCAAAATCCCGTGACGTTTCTGTGGCTTGGGGAAGATGGGCTACCTGGCCATCCCTCCAGAGCCACATAATATAAGGAAGGAGTATTTTAAACACCCCCCCCCAAAAAAAAGTAAGCTGGGAAGTGAAAACAATGGGAGCCGCTATCAGGTTAGACTGCTTGAGGGGGCGCAGGAGACCTGCTTGGTGGGGTTTCTGGACTTGAAACCTCCAAGAGTAAAACACAGCTCAGGAATAACCTGTGCCCTCAACATCCAGGGCTCGGAGGAGACGGAGGCTCTCTCAGGCTCCAGCAGATGGAGGTTAGAGTACGGAGCAGACAGACAGGAGAGGCCCCCAGCTCCAGGAGAGAGAGAATGGACAGTGTCCCCAGAACTAACACTCCGAGTGCAGCGTGCCTGTTCCCAGACTGCTCTGGGGCCTGGTTTGTCCCGGTGTTGACCAGGTGACAGGGCAGACAGAGAGTGGAGCATTAGTCCTGGTCACCCCCACAACACCTAACTGAGACCCTCCATGGCTCAACCCCGGGGAACGCTGGCCATCTGATGAGAACGACATACCAGGATAGAGCAAAGATGCAGGTAGGGGGTGAGCTAAAGAAAGGGAGGCAGAACTGGGGAGCTGGCTCAGCATGCGAAGATACACACACAAGACAAACAAACAAAATGTCATCTAGAAAAGAAAGAGAAGAGACAAGGACATGGTCGAGAAGGTACGAAGTAAGATCCTGGATACCAGGATTGCGGTGCGCTGCGGAGACCTGGCCCTCAGTTCCTCCCAAGGTCACCTCTTGTGGGCTGTGAGGGCAGTGATGCCCCTCAGCCTGGGTCCTTCCCAGACATGGAGCTTCCACAGAACTGGGCAGTTTAGTGTTAATTAGAGGCCCTGGCTAATGGCTTGGAAGATTGGCCAGTTCCAGAGACGCTGATGAATAGAGACCTCGGTGAGATTTATTTCTAATTATCTCATTTGTCTCCCCCCATTACTCTTTATGGCCTGGATTTATGGGACCATTAGGGCCTCCCCTCCACCGGCCAGGCCAGGGTGAGCATCAGCCTTGGGATACTTCATAATAACAATAATAATGTGCTCCATGGTCAGATTGATGGGGGATTTGCCTTCTTGTCCTCTTCATCCTTGTCCTTGGGACCCCAGATACCTGTCGCCCTCATGTCCCTTTCCCTTCCAGGACCAGTGGTCTACAGCCCCAAGCTCTCAGTCAACCTGTGGAATTCAAGCCTGTGGCCTCCTCTGCCTTCCCCTGCATGCCAAGCCTCTCACAGTCCCTCTGTGGCACCTTATCTGAGAAGCTAA